TATATATATATATATATATGTATATGTGTATATATATGTATATGTGTGTGTGTATATATATAAATATGTATATGTGTGTGTGTATATATATATATATGTGTATATATATTTATATACATATATACACACACACATACATATACACACACACATATATATATATATATATACACACACATAATAAATATATATATATATATTTATATATGGGATTTTTTTGGGGGGGGGGAGGGGTTAAAACTTTTTTATTTTGTAAAATTGTGTTCATAAGTTGTATGTTTAAAATGTTCCTGTGAAGAAAATTAAAATTAATAATTTGGGAACAATCTTTTTCAGACAAAAGAACTTCAAGTTGGGCCAAATGTCCCTGAGCCTCCGTCTGCTGGTCCCGTGCTCCTGGACTCTGAAACCGGGCTCCACTCGAGGTAAAATAGATATAAAGATTTAGGAAAAATGGATTTTAAGATCCTCCTCCTTGAATCACCACCTTATCGTGGTGGAGGAGTTTGTGCGCTTGAATGATCCTAGGAGCTCTGCCGTTGGGGGCGATGGACTGTGGTAGGGTCTCCCAAGGCAGACTGGTCCTAGATGACAGGCCAGACAAAGAGCAATTCAAAATACTTTTATGGACAGGATAAAACAAGGGACTCAGTGTCCCTTGCCCGTTCGTGGGTTACCGGGGCCCCACCCTGGAGCCAGGCCTGGGGGAGGGGCTCGTCCACGAGTGTTTGCTGACCGGGTCTCTACTCACTGGGCCTGGATGGGCTCAGCCTGAAGGAGCAACATGGGTTTGTCTTTCTGTGGACCACCACCTGCAGGAGGACCCATAAAAGTCTGGTGCATGAAGCCATGGACAGTGGCCGATGGTGGGGGCTTTGGCGCTCTGACCCTGGTTTACCAAAGCTGCTCTTGGGGCATGGAACATGACCTCTCTGGTGGGGAAGGAGCCTGAGTTTGTGCGTGAGGTTGAGAGGTACCGACTAGATCCATTTGGGCTCACCTCGACGCACAGCATGGACTCTGGAACCGATCTCCTTGAGAGGGGCTGGACCTTATCCCACTCTGGAGTTGCCTGTGGTGGGAGGCGTTGAGCTGGTGCGGGTCTACTTGTAGTCCCCCCCGACTTGGTGCCTGTGGGTTTAGAATAAGATAGACTTAAACTTCTTTTTAAGTCTTTGTGTTTCCTGAACTAGACTGAACCATAAAAGATTCTAAAAAGCAAATGTATAACTTTATTTTTTGCATATTTAAAGTAACAAGTACACTGCCTGGCAAAAAGAAAAAGTTGCCACCTGGATTTAACTAAGCAAATATGTGGAGGATAAGGAGGCCATCTTTGTGAAAAGAAACCGTCCATCATTAAACAGGGGTGGAGCCTCCAGGTTCAACTGTCCCCCTCTTACAATGCTGTGATTGCTAGTATCACTCAGCCCTCTGTGAACAGTAAACAGCCATCAGGTGCTAATGATCCATTGTTAGGCTGATGGTCCTTCTTGAGCATGTGATCAGCTGGTTTTGGTTGTCAGCAGCAAACTGGTTGATCCACTCTGAGAAGGTGCTATTTAAGAGACTGAGCTGAATACAGCACCTCAGACTGAGGAAGTCCTTTGGATGAGAGACGAAACGTTTCTATATTTTTTTGCTTTGTTTTGTTTTTTTTTATTTCCAGAGGACCAGATTGAACTTTTTTGGATCAGTGACCATATCTTTGGGTTTTGTCAACATTCAGAGACAGGTTGTTGACATTGCACCAGTCCATTAGCCGATGCACCTCGACTCTGTACGTTGACTCGTTATTGCTGATAAGACCCAACACAGTCGTTTCATCTGCAAACTTCACAATGGAATTTGAGCTGTGCATTGCTGTACAGTCATGTGTAAGCAGAGTAAACAGCAGTGGACTGAGCACACAGCCCTGGGGAGCTCCGGTGCTCAGTGTGGTGGTGCTGCAGGTGTTCTTTCCGATCCAGATGTATTGAGGTCCCCCAGTCAGGAAGTCCAAGATCCAGTTGCAGAGAGAAGTGGTCAGGCCCAGCGTGCTCAGCTTTCCAATCGGATGCTGAGGAACAATGGTGTTGAATGCTGAGCTAAAGTTTATGAACAGCATCCTAATGTGTTTTTTTTTTTTTTTTTTTTTTTGTCCAAGTGCATGGAAGCCAGATGAAGTGTGGTGGCTATGGCATTGTCCATTAGGGTTAGGGTTAGGGTTCGTTCAGTGTCTTAAGTGTGGAGGTGGTCATGGGGGTTGTTTGTTCAGCAGCCTCAGGGGACAAACGCTGTGGGCTGGCCTGGTGGTTCTGATGCATATTGATCTGATTGATTGGTTATGTTAATCTTGATGAGAATGGCCTGAAGTTCTGCTTCATCTGTGGTTGCAGAATTAAAAGAACTGTGTGTAGGAGGATTTCTGAGAGACATCAGCGAAAGACTTCTGGTTGGCCTCAGTGACGATGTGAGAAACTGTTCAACAGCTCATGAAAAGAAAACAAGTCCCTGTCCCAGGCTGTGCTTTGTTTGTGTGAGGAGCTGCTGATGTGGACTGGAATATGGTTAGACGATATAAAAAACAGTTTCAGGATCACCTTACTCAAGTTACCATGTCCACCTTTGAGGAGGCAGAGGCTGAGGACTCAGGAACAGATAAGTCAGATGTCTCGGTAGTAGTCATTGAGTGTAAAATTTGAGTTAAAAAGTGTCCCAGTAGCAGGGCACCAAGAAGGGATAAGATTCTTCCTAAGTAGCTGAAGGCTCCGGATTTTGTTGGGCTTCCACAGTTGGCACCCTTCTTCAGCATTGCAGATAGGACTGCTATTAATAAAACCTGTGGATGGAAAGACTAGGGTGGTGGTCCTCCTAGTCAACAAGGAGTCCAGAGAGTCTGTTCCAACTATTGAAGGCTCACACTTCTCTGATTCCCCTGGAAAGATTACTCCAGGGTGTTGGAGAGGAGGATCCAACCAGTCATCAAACCTCTGACTCAGTAGGAGCAGCAAAAATATGATCTTGGTCTAACCAAAAGAAGATAGTTCTAGATTTAGGCAGCTGAAATGAACTGCAACTCTGTTGCGTGGCTGAGCTCAGCCTTGAAAAAAAGTAAGAAGCTCCATCACCTTGAGGGAAGCTGGGAGTGGAGTGGCTCCGCCTTGTTAAAGAGATCCAGCTGAGGTGGTTCAAGATGGCTTCTGTGCACCCCCTGTGGAAGGTTTCTAGGCATGTCTATGGATAGGAGACCTTGAAGGTGATCCAGAACTCTGGAAATGTTCGGTATCCTCTCTGAAGACATTGAGATCATCCAGGAGGAGGTGGAAGGTGTTGTTGGGGAGTATAGGTTTAATATAGGTATAGTTCAAGAAAATGGATAAATTGGAAGTTGTCTAATTTACTAAGTACCAACATTGTATTTCTCCTTCTTTGCAGCCCTGTTGACAGTGTAGACCATACCAGAGGAGATGATCTGTCCACCAGATCAGGACCAGAGCATCAAGACCTGAAAACAGGAGAAGAAGAAGCTGAGAATGACATGGATTCCAGAAACAGTGGAGAAGAAGTGTTAGACGGAGATGGCAGCTGGACTCCAGATACTGAACTGAAGACTTGCAGAAAACCAAGAAGCAAGAAAGCTAAACTAGATGTGAAGAAGACTGTGGAGAGTGCAAAGTCTTGTAAAGTGTGTGGAGTCTGGTACTGGAATCTGGGGAGTTTGATCATCCACACCTGGAGTCACGTGGACGAGCAGCAGAACGTTTGTGGGGTCTGTGGAGAGAAGTTTGAATCTGTAGAAGAGTTAAAAGAACATCTCAGAAATCACAAAAATGTTCACATCTGCTCACGCTGCGGGAAGACTTTCATCTCCATCACCAGTCTGAACAGGCACACCACTAAACACACAGGAAACAGTCAGTTTAAATGTAACGTTTGCAATAAAACTTTTGCTTTTAAGCATGCCCTGAACGCTCACCTTTCGGTTCACATGGAAGAGAAACCATACAGATGTGATGTTTGTCCGAAGTCGTTTGGTCTGAAGTCACAGCTCACAGCTCACAGAAGGACACACACCGACAAAGATACATACCACTGCAAAATCTGTGGTAAGACCTCAGCTCACCGCAAATTTATTATCCTCCACAGGCTGATCCATTCAGAGGAAAAGCGCCATGGATGCAAAATGTGTGGGAAACATTTTAAACTTCCAAGTACTCTGCGGGCACACATGAAGACCCACACTGTCAGAGATCGGTCATTCCTCTGCCACATCTGCTCAAAAGATTTCCCAACAGATCAACGCCTGAGGGCTCATCTGAGCACTCACAGCAGCGAGAGGTCATTTGTTTGTGACCTGTGCAGTAAGGCCTTTTCGTCCAAACAACTACTAAACTCTCACTGCAAATGTCACTCTAACGAAAGACCGTTTGAATGCTCTGAGTGTGGACGTGCCTTCAAAGTTAAATCTCACTTGAGGAACCACTTGTTGACCCATTCAAACGTCAAACAGTTCGTCTGTGGGATTTGTGGGAAGGCGTGTTATCGAGCAGAACACCTGAAGGTTCACATGAGGACCCACAATGGAGAGAGACCCTACAAGTGCACCCTTTGTGACAAATCCTTCACCCAGAGCCACTGTTTGAAAACACACATGAAGAGCCACCATACCAAAGAAAACCCTGTCCATGAGAACCAGACTAAAGAAAATCCTATTCCTGATGATCCTCCCACTGATCCATCTGATTCCTTCATGACTTCATCAGTTGAACCCCTTCCTTTCAGTGGGCAGGAACACCAGCCCTACCCTAATGAACTTCCCCATGACTGAGCTCCTCACCCTATTCCTCAAGCTGAGCCCAGATACTCCCCAAATAAAACGTTGGTTACGTACTGTAACCCCAGATTCTTTGACATCATCCAGTCAGACTTGCTCCGTCTCAAACTTGTCCTAAATGCCGATAAAACCAAAGGGATGCTTTTTTCAAATAGGAAGTTGGTCCCAGCAGTTCTTCCTCCGATCTCATCCTCAAATGGTGTCCCCATTGAGTTTGTTCATTCCTATAAATATTTGTGTATCTTGGTCGACTCACATCTTTCTTTTAAGCTCCATGTGGAAAACTTGGTAAAGAAACTGAAAGTTAAACTGGGTTTGTTTTTCAGAAACAGATCCTGTCTAACCCTGAATGTTAGGAAACACCTTGTATCTGTGACTTTCCTTCCCTCCATTGATTACGGTGACATTATTTACATGAACGCTCCTACAAGAACCCTGCAGATGTCGGATGCTGCAGATGTTGGATGCTGCAGATGTTGGATGCTGCAGATGTTGGATGCTGCAGATGTTGGATGCTGCAGATGTTGGATGCTGTCTATCATGGTGCACTAAGATTCATAACTGGCTGTGATTATCGTACCCACCACTGCACCCAGTATTCACTGGTTAACTGGTCACCATTAACTTCACACAGACTCTCCCACTGGTACATCTTCATCTTTAAA